ACAACCAAGGCTACACTCAAAAATAAATAAATAAATAAATAAATAAATAAACGAGGCCAGGAAGAGTGTAATCTTTGGTCCCCAGCTGGTGGCACTACCGAAGTGTAATGGGGTCATAAAAGCAGTAATTTTATCAATGGATCCACCTGCTGCTGTTTGTGGGTGAATGGGCGGGGCTGGGTCCTGGTCACGGGGGTGTGCCTTTGACGCGTGTGTCTTGTGAGTCCTGCTCCCTGATCATACTCAGTTGTCAGACTTTCATGCTGTGGTGTTTTGAATGATAAGTGTCCCCTGTAGGCTCAGGCACTGAATCCCTGTCCTCCCTCAGTTGGTGGGGCTTTTCGGAGGGAACAGCGGTGGGGCCCGGCTTTGGGAATTTAACATCTCTCCTCCCATCTTCCTTTACCTTTTAGTTGGAGATGTGATGTGTCAGCTTCCTGGTCCGGCCAACTGTCTCCCCTCTGTGAGAGAATCTTATCCCTCGGAACAAAAAGCCCGAATAAATGTTTTCTTCTCTAAGTTCCCTCACTCATATGCTGTATCACAGCAGCAGAGAGGTACTCACACACAGGACAAGCCCTCTACCCACAGGGCCAGCAGACCGGCCCACATGTCTCCTGGTTTTGTGTTACTGACGGTCCAGGCCTCTGTACACACTGGGCAAGTGTTATACTATGAGCTGTCCACCCTAGATCCACCTCACACATTGGGGGGGAGGGCGGAGATAGGGTTTCTCTCTATAGCTTCAGCTGTCCTGTACACCAGGCTGGCCTCACACTCACAGAAATCTGCCTTCCGCTGCCTCCTGAGTGCTGGGGTTAAAGGTGTGTGCCACCATGGCCCAGCATCCCCCCTCCTTTTATTAAAATGAGAGTCAGGGTGTTGTTATGTAGCCCAAGCTGGTTCCAAACTTGAGCTCACCTGTCTTAGCCTCCCAAGTGCTGGGATAACCAGCGAGTAGCACCACATCCTGCTTTGAAAGTAAGTTTTATAAAGAGAGCGAGCAGCAAGGTCTGATCTGTGTTCTCCTGGGTCCTCACAGCTCAGAGCACTGTTTGTCTCTGTGTGGCCCTGGCTATCCAGGAACTCACTGTGTAGGCCAAGTTGGTCATAGACTCACGGAGATCCTCCTGCCTCTAAGGGCATGCACCACCACCACAGGGGCCCCACTATTTGTTGGGTCTCTGTGTAGCCCAAGGTAGCCTCAGACTCCCTAGGTAGCCCAGACTGGAGCTGACTTCCTGGCCCTCCTACCTGGATCCTGCATCCTGCATTACAGGTGTGTGCTGCCACACCTGGCTGGTTACTGCTTTTCACCTCGCCTTGTGAATATGTGTTTGCACAGACTTCTAAGTGAACACTCAAGGATAGGTTCACAGAAGTAGAATTGGTTGTGTAAAGTAAAAATGTAAATTGTTTTATGTTTGAGTGAAACAATCAAACAACAAAACACTCTCAAAAACCTAATTTCCTTTTCATGGGGGAAACAAAAATGGTCTGTGCCCTGCTAGGTTGCTATGTACCATTACATTATTCTTTCCATTGTGTGAGTTCACCTGAGATGCTCAGCGGGCCGGGAAAGAAATAAGCATGGGGAAATGGCAAGGGACAGAGCCAACAGGGGAGGAACTAGACCATGTGCCCTGGGCACTGGCGAGCCCTGGCTGGTTAGAGATGGAGGGACAGTGCAGCCGGAGGTTTGCGAGAAGAAGACACCAGATGGCCTCCTGTCCTTTCTATGGTCCCTGTTCTGACCTGGCCCTTGCCTGTCTGCTTCCCTCTTACCCACTGGTCACTGGGCAAGAGGCCAGGCAGGAGAAACCTGTCCTTCCAGCCCAGGCTGTCTCCATCAGGCCACACTGCTGTCAGTCCAGCTGAGCCACTCGAGGGTATGCAGACAGGAGGAGCCAGACACGGTGGTGGCACACCCGGGACAGAAAAGGGGGTCTGCCCACCTGACCCCCTCCCCCAGAGGCCAGTTCTGCCAAAAAGCTCCCAAACACAGCAAGGCCCGGCCTGTCTGATGCTTAGGGCAAGTTCAGAAATGCTTGGCAGAGCAATTCTTTCCTCTGTGTACATTTTGCACAACAGCAGTGGCATTATTTTTTTAAGATTTTAAAACCAAAATGTCTGAGACTTGGAGAGATGGCTCAGTGGGTAAAAGGCTGGTTGCTCAGTCTTAAGGAGCTGAGTTCAGATCCCCAGCAGCCATGCAAAAGCTTTTCTTTTTTTATTGGAAATGTAAATATCTAAGGAGTAAAGGAAAAAACCTCCATGTGATGCCAGCTCTTGGCTTCCTTGGTTCTTCTCTGCTGGGATGGACGGGTCTTCCTGGGTAGCAGAGCAGGACTGGGGATGGTCGGCAGCTGCTTCTCCACCCTCCATCCTCACCCGATCTCTCAAGTTCTGGAAAAACCACAGTGTGCCACCGTGCCCAATCCAGTCTGTTCTTTTCTTTGCTGTTCTCTTTGGGTTTGGTTTTGTTTTATTTGAAATAGGGCCTCATGTAGCCCAGATTGGCCGCTGATTTGCTGGAATCCTTGAACTCCTGATGCTTCAGCGACCATTCTCCGAGTCCTGGGATTATAGGTGTGTGTCAACACACACACACACACACACACACACACACACACACACACACACACACCTTTTTTCTGTATTCCATCTGGTACCAGTGGGTTAAGGAAAATTCCTGAGTCATAACACACAGTGGTTAAGAGAACTGGCTGCTCTTCCAGAAGACCCACATGGTGGTTCACAACCATCTGCAGCTCCAGTTCCAGGGGACCCGACACCTTTTTCTGACCTCCATGGGGACTGCATTCGGTGGTGCACAAGCATACATGCAAGCAAAACAGTCATACACATAAAATAAATCATCTAAAAAATTAGCAAAAGCTGCCTGGTGGTGATAGAGCCCCTGTGCCTTCAACCCCGACAACTCAAAAAGAGGCGGAGGCCAGCAGGCAGATCTCTGAGTGTGCAAAGTTACAGGGCAGCCGGAGCTGCACAGAGAAACCCCGTCTCTAAATAAATATAAACACCCTTCGATCCCAGCACTCTATGGAGGCAGAGGCGGGGGAATCTCTGAGTTCCAGGCCAGCCTGGTCTATGGAGTGAGTTCCAGGACAGCCAGGGCTACACAGAGACAACCCTGTCTCAAAAAATAAATAAGTAAATAAATTTTAAAAAAAATAGTAAAAAGCAGAAAGCAACGGGGTCCGACAGGGACTGTTATAATCCCCATTTCACAGATGGACACAGTGAGGCTCAGACAATTTGGGGGGGGGTGCTGGTGAGAATTCAGGGCCGCCTCTCCCAGAGAATCCCAGCTATACACTAAGTCACAGTGTGCTTGCTCGGGAGGACACCTGGTTTCAAAGCAGATTCGCATGGAACGCCTCCATTTCAGGTTAGTCGAGCATGTGCCTAGAGTTGGAAGAGACAAGTTTCATGCTGGGGACTGCGGAGAAGCTACTTCAGCCAGTTGGCAGAGCCCCTTCTCATTTATTAAAACCTGGAATTTATCACACCTATCTGGTGTTTTGAAAACTCTGATAGGAAGCTACTCGTGGTGACGCATATCTCCAGCGCTCAGGAGGCAGAGGCCTCTTTGTGAATTTGAGGCCAGCCTGATCTATAGAGTGAGTTCCAGACTGTCGGGGCTACACAGAGAAACCCTGTCTCAAAAAAAAAAAAAAAAAAAAAAAAAAAGTGTGATGCTAGTGCAATTGGTAAAGAGGACCAAACCTTGGGACACAAGGCTGAGCTGCCTATTGAATGTATCAAAGGGGACCTGACAGCCAGGTTCTCCCAGCATCCCTCAGTCCCTAACTGTTACAGGTATGGCTGGGAGACCAGCCTAAATTTCTCCACCCAATTCTTCCCTACACAATCCAGCCATTTTGAGTACCCGCTCCTTTTTTTGCCTTTTGCCTTCTTCGCTGCTGAACCTGGTTCCTCTCTCTCCCCCATCTCCCTTCCCCTTTCTTCCTCTCCTCACAAGGCTCAGGGTCACGTTCACTCTGGATTCTCTCAGATGTCTCTGCCTCAGGCTATGCTCTCCCTTTTATCTACAATAAACTCTCTCTCCCACCACCCGTGGTCTTCCTTTTATTTCTTTTTTTTTTTTTTAAGTGAATTCAGATATGTATCTTTGTTTGTTTTGTTTTTCGAGGCAGGGTTTCTCTGTGTAGCCCTGGCTGTCCTGGACTCACTTTGTAGACCAGGCTGGCCTTGAACTCACAGACATCTGCCTGCCTCTGCCTCTGCCTCCCTGAGCGCTGGGACTACAGGTGTGGGCTACTACACGTGGCTCAGATCGCATATTTAAAAAGCTAGTAACTCCAGCACCGGATGTGGCAGAGAAGGGAGGATGGGGCTTGCTGGCCCGCCCGTCTAGCCTGAAAAAAGAAAAACGTTGGCTCCTGGTTCAGGAAGACCAGGTCTATAGGGGAAGAAGGTAAAGACAGCTGGTCTCCCCTGGCCTTTGAGTGTGTGTGCACAAGTGAGTTCGAGCGTGCGCACACACACACAAACACACACACGAGCCTGGACTACATTAAAAAAAAAGAGAGAGAGACCTTAAGTCTGAAGTTCTCAGAGAAAGCTTGTCTGAGTAAAGAGAGTTACCGGAAACCCAATGCTGGACTCCTCCAGGCAGACACGCCTGAAGCCAGCCATTTTGAATCAATGGCGAGAGCTGATATAGCCCGAGTGATGCCTCATCCAGGCGGCTGGATTTCCGCCACTTCCTTCTGAAGTCTTACTCACCCTTGTCCCCAAAAGAAAGCTGGGTGGAATGCTGCATGCCTGGAATACCAGCATTCTAGAGGTGGGGACAGAGAGAGGAGTCACACCGGTAATCCTCTCCCCAGGGAGGCAGCTGCAGTGGGCTGCCCCCTGGCCTTAAGGCTAGCCTGGGCTACATATACATTCCAGGGACAATTTGGGCTTCAGAGTAAGACCCCGTCTCAGACAGAACAGAAACAGACGCATCGGCAACTTCAGCCAGCCAGTGTTTATTAGATCTCCAGCCCTGCTCAGACAGCTGGGTGATGATGGCGACCCCACAATGACCAGAGCAGAATGTGTCCCTCCTCTTCCAGCAGCCTTGGTCTGTCAGATACAAACTACCGGTACAAACTACCGAGCAACGGCGGCTACACTTGCAAGAAGTTCTGGAAGCCACAGAGGTGCATGATGGGTTGTTAGGAGCAGCAAAGAGCCTCCGAAGACAGGACATTTTGTTGTCGACAGATCAGCCAAATGAAACAGGGCCAAGGGGGTCCAGGGACACAAATCCAGGGCCTGGGGCACAGCGAGGGTCCAGGCCAGCTCCTACACCTATAAAGGGATTTTGGAACTGCCAGAAGGGAAATGGAGGGAGGTGGACAGGGTGGGTTGTGGCTGAGGTACACAGGGGTGGGGTGGGGTGGGGAGGAGGTTGAGGAGGCCCCGGTGAGGCAGAGAGGCAGGGCTTCGGGCTGAGGCGCACACATGGTGTCCCCTTGCTCCTCAGAGAGTGGTGTAGAAATACATGGCTATCAGCATCACGGGGAGCTGGGTGGGCAAATGGTATGATGAGGTACTCTCGCCCTAACCCTCGTGTCTCCCCCAAACCCACACCCACATCCCGCACACCCACGGCTGCCTCCTCCACAGCCCACAGGCGCCACACCCCTTACCGTCCACATCAAGATGGCGAAGCCAAACCACGATATACCCCACGTATAGCTGTCAATGGCATGGCCGATGTGCTCGAAGCAACCCTGCAGAGAGGGACAGCAGGGGCTTGGGGCAAAGCCGCAGGAGGCTGGTGGGTGACAGAGTCACCTGTGCCCTGGGAGGCGTCCCTTTCTTCCCTCTGCCTTGGTTTTCCCATCTGTGCGATGGGAATTATGGCCATGCCTTCCTCCTGAGACTCTTAGCCAGGAGAGTGCTGCTCTGGAACCCAGCCCTGGAGTGGGCGGTGGCTTTCAGGTGGCAGCTGTCAGTATGAACGTGGTTATATTCAGCCTGGCTTTCTGTGCTACCCACAAACCCCGAGGGTTTGAAATCCACTCCTGATACCTGCTCAGTAGAGAGCAGGATGAGCAAGGCCAGAGCCCTATACCAGGGTCACCTTCCTGGATCCGTTCCAGCCAGGAAACGGCTGAGAGCAAAGGCCCAGAGCACATGGCCCCTGTCAGATGCAAGCAAGTCCGGGGCTAGCTCTGCTCTTTTGTTATTGGTAGAACGCAGGCGTGATTCCGGTTCTCTGCGCCTCGGTTTTACAGCCTGCTAAGTGGCAGCATGGAGAGCCAATGCAGGGACTCTGAGGCGACCATGGGAAAAAGATTCATGGACTGCAGCTTGAGAACAGACCGCTCTAGTCCACCCTTGGTGAGGGGGCGCCCCGGGACACCTCCCCTCCAAGTCCGACCTCACAGCTTGACTTGTAGCCACAGGTACGGGGGGGGGGGGGGGGGGAGGACGAAGACGCCCGTCCCTGTGAGCGGCGGCCGC